TGGTCGGGGGCTGCGACGATTCGGAATGGCGGTGACGGTGTTAGGGTTGAGGGAGAGAAAAGGGGATCGGGTTGGTTTGGGAAAAATGAGACACGTGAATCTTTAGGTGTTTTGAGAAAAACGTGCATCTTTTTAGGATTTGTGAATGGTCAGCGCAAAAAGACACCCTAGTTCCCAAACATATTTCATTGTTAAAAAAAAAAAAGAAAACAGAAAAAACACCTTGAATGCCAAGTCGCTCATAAGATATTAATTGAACATGGACAAAATGTGATGCATTTACTTATTATATAAGATGGTCGCAGATTTTTTTTCCAGATGTACAAGTCACATCACACTTTGTATCGCCTGTCCAGCCCACATCACCCGATCCTCTTCTAAAACCCTAGATCCTTCCCTTTCTTTTGGCGCCAACACAACATTTTCCCGCCATTTCTCAACCCCGCCCCCTTTCCTCTTCTCACTCCCTCAATCTCCACGGTCCACAGCCTTGATCTCAACCCACCAACCAATGGAGGAGTCACCAATCTCCACTCGCCGCGCACCCGCACCAAGGGACCCGAGTCCAGCGCCCGATCCGAAGCCCTCCAGCGCCTCAAAGCCTCCGGAGCTCCACCGACCGCCGGTCCGAATCCAACAACCTCCAGATCAAGCTTTCGGATCCAATCTACGACACTGTACCCGAATCCGACTATGCCGCCCTCGTCGCCAAGCGCCGTGACGACTTCCGTGACTTCATCGTTGATGATGACGGCCTCGGATACACCGACGACGGCCGGGAAGAGGACTGGACAAACCCTAACCCTAATTACCACTCTGATTCCGGATCCGGATCTGGATCCGATAAGGATCGGAAGGATTCTAATAAGAAGAAGAAGAAGGAGGCGAAGAAGAATGTGAAGCTGCCACCGAATCCGGTAGTGAGGCAGCGTATCTCGTCGATGTTTACTTCTTCCGTGTTTAAGAAGAATGAGAAGTCGATAAAGGCGGGATCTGTGGCCGCGGAGAGTATAATCGATGATGTTCTTGCTGAGTTTGCGCCTGATGAGAATGATAGGGAGGAGAGAAGGCGAAGGAGTGCAAAAAATTTACCAGAAAATGGGCAAAGGTTGCAGATCAAGAATGATGTTAGAGCTCCAGAGATAGTCTTAAGTAGAAGTTCAGACGAAAATTTTCAAGAAAATGGTATTTTGAGTAACGAGAATGATCAGGATTCAGTGCCTATGGAAGTGACAGAGGAACCAAAGAACAATGAGAATGTAGAGGCTGAGAAATGCGATTCAGTTCAATTGAAAATGGAGATGAGAGTGGAAGACGGTAAGAAGGAATTTTGCCTTAATGCAAAGATCAAGGTCGATAAGAATGAGAATGTGTTGAGTGCCACTGAAGGATGGAAAGCAGCCTGTGAAAATAATGGGAACACTGGCGGTGAAAGTGCTGCTAATGAGTCGGCAACAAACTTAAATGCTGATGAAAGTTCAGATTTTGAGCTGAATGCTGATGGGTCTCTTTCGTTTTACATTATTGATGCATATGAGGAGTCCTTTGGGGGTAATTTGGGCACACTTTATCTCTTTGGAAAGGTAATATTTCTTCTTCATCTTGCAATTGATACATATACTGATGACAGTGTTGAGTTCCGTGTCAGAAATCACTTGTTTCCTCATCAAATTTGCATATCCAATTTTTTGATGAATATATTTAGAATGAGTTGGATTCTAACTGGTTGCCTTTTCTCGTATGAGCCTCGAGTACTTTCTGTTAGACCCTAGGGGGGTGATTAGGGTCTTATGCTAATCTAATCCGATTTTATGTCAATTAAAACTAATTCAAATATTATTCTTGCAAGATAGATATACAATATGATATGAGTAAGAATATGCAATATGAACAAAGGGAAATATCCTAGCAATGAGATATACTATAAGATATATGCGAGGATATACAAATAACACAAGGGTAAGCAATCTAAACTAGATAGTGGGCAATATAAGCAACAAGCAATATACAAAGGCGATATAAGATATGAACATAAAAATAAGTACGCCAATGCAATCACAAACAAACGATATGTTTACGGAGTTTGGTCTCACGACCTACGTCTCCGCTCCTAACCTCGAGGAGATCTTCACTATCACAACCGGGTTTTCTACGCTCACCCGAATAACGTTTACACCACACAATATCGGTTTTTAACGCTCACCGATCAACGTTCACAATCTCACAATGTAACTACACTCCACATCCTCTAAGTGTTGGTTTCTAGCCCGTGTCCTTCCTCAAGTGCTCGGAATTACCACCTCTCTCTAGGCTTTACTACCGACCCCACTCCTCTTGGAAGCGACTCCGTCTCTCATCACACACTCTTCTCGGTGTACTAGTGTAATACAAAGTGAATCTCACAATAAGCATAATACAACAAATGATTGTTCTCTAATATGGATGAGAACATAATATAAGCTCGCACTTAATGATACACTCCCACAACCCAAATTATACTATGAATGTAAATACAATAAGCTCAATAGGTTGTGTGTGTAAATAATGAGTAAATCAAAACTAAACTCAATTATGAAAAACTAGCAATAAGCTCAATAGGTTGTGTGTGTAAATAATGAGTAAATCAAAACTAAACTCAATTATGAAAAACTAGCTTGTAGAAATGATAATCAATAAAGTAAATAATGAGTAAATCAAAACTAAACTCAATTATGAAAAACTAGCTTGTAGAAATGATAATCAATAAAACAATATAAATGAAAGCTAGAATTGAGTTTAGGAAAACTTTTCTAGATGACAAGAGAGAGAGAGAGAGGAATTGAAGCTCAACCACCAATGAATTGATCTCCACTTCCTCTTGTGAAAGTATCTTCACAAACCAAACTTGAAACAAAACTAAACGAAACTTAAACCATTGTTAAACTTTCTTAAAACATTCTCTTAAAACTTTTCTCTTGGATTAATAGAACTGAGAATATGTGGGGGTATTTATAGGAACCCCAAAGCCGAGAGAAAACAAGGCAAAAAGATAAAAAACCCAAAAGAAAACAAAGTTGAAAAATAACCGTTACTGTGCAATGGATACTTTATGGGTCGACTCATAAAAATCATGGGTCGACTCATAACTTAGCTGTTATAGGCTAAAAACAGCTTATGGGCCGACTCATAAAATTCATGGGTCGACTCATCATGCATGGGTCGACTAATGAAGTCATGGGTCGACTCATGAAGTCATGGGTCGACTCATCAGAAATAAAACACACTTTCCAGCACAGTTTATGAGTCGATTTATGACAAGCATGAGTCGACTCAACCTGTCTGGGTCGACTCATGATGTTATGAGTCGACTCATCAGAAATAAAATGTAAACTACACACCAGTTTATGAGTCGACTCAACACTGTTCATGAGTCGACTCAAGACATGCACACAACCTGTTTGAAACAATACATGTCAACTTAAAACATGGTTTAAAAATATCAAATAAATTTCAAAAAATATAAAACTTTGAGAAATGATTGTAGACATGATAATAAACATGCTACAAAAACTGGTTTTTAAAAAGCATCTCCCAAATGTGAAATCTCATCATTTTACAAAATCACATAAGAAACTTGATTTTGCCAAAATGACTTAAACAAAATTTTGAAACACTTTAGGATGGATTTAGAGACTTATACAAGATATGAAATAGTGTAAATAAGTCTTCAATCCATAAACATAATATGTTGCAAATTCAATTGAATATGAAACACATAAATGTGAAAATGAAGATATATATTGTTTCATATCTATATAGCTAAACCAAAATAACTTATCCACGTATAAAACAAATAAGTATTATATATCTATTTGTTTGCAAAAACTTTTGTGGATAAAACACATAAACCATTAAATTGTGTGTGTATAATATTGAGCTTAAGATAGTAACACACAAATATAAACGTATACTACAAATACTATAAACTATATACCCAAGCTTGAAGGTCTTCAATATAGCTCGACTTGGTAAACTTGCGGATGAAGCTTGAACTTGAATCTTTAACTTGAATTGCATTGCTTCACTCTACTATTTTTGCCAACCTCCATTTGATATGATCATTATGGCGCAATTCCATCCAACCTCCAACATATTGTTTGTCTACAATGAATACAAAACACAAACACTAGACAAACAATATTAGATGTAAATTGTTTGTTAAACATCATCAAAACAAAGAGACTAACACTTTCTATCTTATGAGGACCTGTTGTCTTACAATTGTTCTCTTCTTTGCGCATGTCAACCATTTGAAATACATAGTCATTTTCTTCCGGTTAAGGCGACTCCAATTTTTAAGACTATAAGTTCATTTGCAGGTATCTAACTTTATATGGCAAAGTTTAATTCTTAGTTCATTAAAATGTGGTTCTGCTAGTTATCTTCCTGTTATAGCAATATAAATCATAATAACCCTAAGGGAAAGTTTTTAAGTTACTGATTTTCTTTGGCAAGGAGAAGTCTATTGTTAGTTTGCATATGAACGTTTTATTTATATGAGAAGGAAGTTCTAGTACTTCATTATCATTATTCAGTTAGTCAGGATAATAATCTTTATAACCATATATCTGTTGATGAGCTTGTTAAGTAGCATGTCTTCAATGCCTTTGTGTGATAGAGATTTTAAGTCCAGATCCTTGCCAAGTCTAATAAATCCTAAATGTGTATGATTGAAGTAAACATTAAACATTATTTGCTAGTTACCAATTTAAATTAATGCTTTGTACCAACCATGGGATAGTGAATTGCTATGTCTATGTTACCCGCACTAATAAACTCTTCTAATGTAGGTTTAATATTCGAGACATTTTTGTCATGATTCGCATGAAACCTGAATCTCTTATTATTCTTTTATATCAAAAGCCCCTCTGGCATCTTACTTTTCATAATCGTCTCTATAAAACATATGTTTTTGTGACCATTTGGTCTAAACACTGTTGATAATGAACAATGTTTTTTTTTGGGGTTCTTTTTTGGGGTACATGGAACTATTTTCAGGCAGGGAGATCACCAAATAGGTTATTTTACCTCTCAATTCCTCCAAATATATTCATTGATGTAGTGAGATGTGCTAGCCGCTCTGCTACTTCTCCTATGGGATGGACCAGAGTCATCGTTGAAAAGCCATTTGGTCGCGACTCTGAATCATCTGCAAAGCTCACAAAGTCTCTGAAACAGTACTTAACTGAGGATCAAATATTCAGGTACTTCATTCAACAAATTCTCGGCTGCAAATTTATGTTACATGAATAGTATGAGATTTTGTTCACTAGAAACTAAGGATCCGTCATTTGACTGATGTAGAATCGATCATTACTTGGGGAAAGAGCTCGTGGAGAATCTATCAGTTCTTCGGTTTTCCAACCTGGTATTCGAGCCGTTATGGTCTCGGCAATACATCAGAAATGTTCAACTTATATTCTCTGAAGATTTTGGAACAGAGGGCCGGGGCGGGTTTGTCATATGAATGCCTGTCTTTCCTGAGTAACCTAGCTATGTCATCAGAATAATTTTGCTCATTGCCCCTTTTTTCATCTGCAGTTACTTTGATAGCTATGGGATAATCAGGGACATCATGCAGAACCATCTCCTCCAAATCTTAGCTTTATTCGCGATGGAGACACCTGTCAGTTTAGATGCTGAAGACATTAGGAATGAAAAGGTTTGAAAGAAGTAACTTTTATGATAAAGTCTTGTAGCCATCAGTAGCCTCTACAATCCATGTACCTACTAATGGGGTATGCATTGAGCATCCACGATACAACACAAGTTAATTGTGGATAGACCTTTGTACTGTTACCTAATTGCTGATAGAACGCTGTAGTTCTATTGTTGTAGATAAACCCCTGAGTTAAATGTTTTTTACTCTTTTACCACAGAGAAAGAGAACATTGTTTTGTGACGAATAGACCTCTTGACGTTAAAAAAATCTGTTGGGGTTTATCTGCAACACTTGAACAGTGGGGGGGTCTGTCTGCAATTAACCTTATATTTTATACAGGTAGAAAATTATCTCAACCATTGAACATCATTTACATTTCCAATGTAACTTGCTTTGCCACCACAAAACTAATCACTTGATATAGGAAAATTTATAATCAATTAATACATAACTTACAAAACCCTATAAATTTTAAAACAGATATCCCAAAAAAATAAAATAATAATCTAGTTGTCAGTTTTGATGGTCCTTTGAGGTTAAGAGCTAACAGAAGCATGCTAGAGTTGCAATAGAGTTGCAATCCTACTCACGCTCATCATTGCACATATTGTTGATGAGCTTTCCTGGTGTCTGTTCAGGTTAAAGTCTTACGATCAATAAGGACTTTGCAGCTTGAGGATGTTGTTGTGGGACAATATAAGGGCCATAAAAAGGGTGGAATATCTTACCCTTCATACACGGATGACCCTACAGTACCAAAAAACAGTCTTACTCCAACATTTGCAGCTGCGGCTCTTTTCATTGACAATGCTAGATGGGATGGTGTACCTTTTCTCATGAAAGCTGGAAAGGCATTGCATACCAAGCGGTAAGATTGCTTCTTTTAAGGATTAATTTCCCAAAACCCCTTTAACTTTGGAGTTTATGCACCTTTTTTTTTTACCTCACATAACCCACCTGAACTTTAAACTTTTCTCACAACACCCCTTACCTATAGTTGGCAAATGACTAAAATTTCCTTGAGAAAAATAAAACCTCAACTGGAGGGAGGGGTGCATTGCCTGTCAATGACAAAGGACGGAATCTGTAGTTTTTACTCTCAAGGACATTTCAGTTATTTGTTCGTTATAGTTACGGAGTCCGATGAGAAATATTTGAAGTTAGGAGGGTTTCGTGAGACATCCCAAAGTTCAAGGGGTTAAGGGGGTTATGTGTGAAATTCCCCAAGGTTCAACAGGGTTTTGTGTATTTGACATTTCTTTTAATCATTTACATTTTGAGTTATAGTCTTGCCTAGACCTACCAAGAAGTTGCAATTCTTTCTGAAAACACAGAGCAGAGATTAGAGTTCAGTTCAGGCATGTACCTGGTAACTTGTACAAATCCAAATTTGGGAGTGATTTGGATAGAGCTACTAATGAGCTCGTGATCCGTGTGCAACCTGGTGAAGCAATATATTTGAAGATAAATAATAAGATCCCAGGGCTCAGCATGAGATTAGACCGCAGCAATCTGAATCTCCTTTATTCATCAAAGTAAGAGGCTACTGTGAAATTTTATATCAGCTTATGGCTATATCCACATGGTTTCATTTTTTTGTTGATTCAAATATAGCTAACAAGTGTAGTTAGCCTGAGGCCAAGAGGATGCTTTAATCTGGTAAATGCGCACAAAACAAAAACTAATGGGGCACAATTATTTAAATGCATGTACAGTTTAAATAACCATACATCCAATTATATGTTATCTTCTAAACAATTTAAATTTCCTAAGGGATTCAAATCATAGCTAGGCTAGTTACTTGGACATATATTGGTGTTTGATCTGGTATTAGTTTACAAGACGAAGCTGTCGAAACCATGCATATTTTAATCTAATAGAAGCTAAAACAAATCAAATGGATACAAAAGTTTGTAACAAGTCATAGAAAACTCAAGAAATATAGAGGTGAAAGTTCTACTCGTTACATGTCACTTTCAGATTGTAAGGCCACAGTTACTTGCCTAATTTACCAGTGTGCAAATGCAATTGTAAGCACAAAAGCAACATTGTGCATAGAAGAATTTTATGTAATTATACTCTATTCTCGAATATTGTAAGAAAATCTTTCATGCAAATATATTTCTCAAATACATACATGATAAGTTGATGTGCACGCTTAAAATCAACAAATAAATAAAAGGTTTACTCAATGTGTGTTCTTTGTAGATATCCAGCAGAGATACCAGATGCATATGAGAGGCTTCTCTTAGATGCAATTGAAGGAGAGCACCGACTTTTCATCAGAAGCGATGAGCTTGATGCAGCTTGGGCCCTCTTCACGCCGGTGCTAAAGGAACTGGAAGACAAAAAGATTGTGCCAGAGCTTTATCCATATGGAAGCACTGGACCGGTTGGAGAACACTATCTCGCTGCAAAATACAACGTTCGATGGGGAGATCTCAATGGTGAAGACTCATAGGCTACTTCATTTGTGATCTCCTTTATCCTTCAAATGTACACTAAATATATTTTTTGAAGTCTAAAAGTTACATAGTGTGTACATCTAATTAAAATGCGTTCAAAGATATATGATGTATTACTTTTCTTAATCTCCAATATCCTATCTACTTCTACCTGAACTCTGAGTAGTGGATAGTGCTGGCCTCTTTAATGCATAACTATTGTTCTAAGACTAACATAAATACAATAACGATTAGTTTTAGATTTTGAAAAATGAATATTCCTTAATTTTAGGTTTTATTCAATGACACTTTAATATTTTTTTTCTTAAAAAGAGAAACAACTAAGAAGCTACTAATATATAATTGAATTTACTGTAGATGGGAAACATCAATACTGGATATTCACACTTCCTAAATACACCAGATTGAATTCAGTTGCTTTTGGAAGGAGGTGCTATGATGGGTACAAGCAAAGAAACTTACTAAACACTAATATATAGGAGGGGAGTCATTAATACAAATGTTTGCAGTTTATGTGCTGGTGGAGGTTTGGAAAGTCAAAACTATCTGTTTTTTGAATGCAAGTTTTCAAATGAGGTGTGGAATTGCATTATGAATTGGCTTCAATTCACTTGGAAGTCATGTGAGTGGGGACTTCTATTGGATTGGTTTTGTACAAAGCTGAGGGGCAGAGGATTTAAGCAAGCGCATGGCTTTAGCTGCTACAATTTACAGGATATAGAGTGAAAGGAACGCCAGGATTTTTCAAAACAAATATAGAAGCATGGAGTGTTTGGTTAAAGATATAAAGATGGATATTTTGATTACAAATTTAAACACTCAAATTCCAGTTGAGAAGAGAGATTGGTTACTCTCCTTGTAAAGCTCTGTGTATATGAGTTTTTTCTTTTTGAGCTTTAGTTTCAGGTTTTGGATATCTCAAAATGTGATGAGATTCTTGATGTACATACAAAATTTTCATATTGGTGGATGAATAATTTTTTTTTCATTTACCAAAAAAACACTAATATATAGGATGATGTGCACAACATAATTTTGGATCCAGCTAGTGACATATCCACAAGGACCTCATATATAGCTAAACAATGCCACATACACATTGACCAGATTCAACGTATTAAGTTGCAGATACATAGAGGGGTATGCTACAAAAATTGCAAATTTTCAGAAAGTTTTGAGACAAGCTCCAAAGGTTAGTGGTCAAATGATATTTATAAAGCTTGGGGGTGGGCGGTGTGTTGCAAAGAGAGAACAACCATTCATTGATATGACTGGGAATTTTTTTAAATAATGTCTCATATCAAGCACTTATGCATGTGGTCTCCCATTTTTTTTCTCCTTTTGATGGTTAATGGACCACATTTCCCTCTGTAGAGCACCATGTTAGTTCAGCTCACATAAAAATTTACTTTCTTGTCTGCTCTCATCTTTTATTTGAAAATAAGAAATCATATCAAGATTAGTTAAGAAGTGTCCAAATCCATGTGTCGTATGTACGTATGATGAAATTAAGACAACGCTAACATTCAAAATACTATTAGAGCTGTGTATCAAACATGTACTTCATTGATGCTTTTGTTACTTGTAGTTTTATGTTTTACTTTTTAGTTTGAATTAATTTATAACCACATAGATGAACTCAAAAATCCGAACTATTCTCCATTTCGTGCTATCACATGCTACTATATTATGATGGTGTAATGCCACGATCAAACATGTACTTCATTGATGCTTTTGTTACTTGTAGTTTTATGTTTTACTTTTTAGTTTGAATTAATTTATAACCACATAGATGAACTCAAAAATCCGAACTATTCTCCATTTCGTGCTATCACATGCTACTATATTATGATGGTGTAATGCCACGATAATAATCAAAAGCTTTTGCAGGTTGGAGTGCTGTGCATTTTCTACATTGCTTAAATTATTTGAAAATGATTTAGATACTATACATTTAGAAATGTAGAAGTTTGAATGTTAACTTGTTGACAAGGTGGAAATCTCTGTGTGTTAAGGTCAAATCAGGCGGTGCACATCACAGCTGTTGTGTGATTGTAAAGAATATGCAAAGATGCATTTATGCCATACCAGACAGTTCAGTCTTTCCAAGCAACAAATTAGCGGAGGTGGAGATGAAAGTCAAAGAATCTCAGGATCCTGCAACTGCTTCCCGGACAACTCTGCAGGTAAATTTGAGTTCTCATAGTGACAATCACATAAATTATCATGCTAACACTGACCTGTCTTTCTAACTTGTTATTGTAAAATGTATGTATTGTAGTTTATGTAGCTACCTCTCTTTTGTAGGAGATGGCTTCAGGACTAAAGAACGAAATAGCTGAAAGATTGTTGAAGCTCAATGTTTCAGCTTTTGCAATGATGCCTGTAAAGGTCTGTAACTAAGTTACTCTTGGTAATTTAAGTGGTCATTCATTTGCCTGTTTTTTTCCCTCTCCATGCCAGTGCACTGATTTTCAATACACATTTCTTGTTTTACTTGTATAAACTGCAGCGGAGTTATGCATTTGAGCGAACTGATATTCCTACAGGGGAGAATTATGTCCTTAAGATCAACTACCCATTTAAGGTAACCCCACATCAGTTCCAGCACTTTTCTTGTATAATGCCCCTGGATCTTTTTTTTTGTCATTTTGTAACAGTTTCTAATTGACATAGAGATATATAAGGACACTTCCCGTGGATTTCAGGATTTCAGATGGTCCAAATATCAGTGCTTCCAACTTGTCACATCTATTATGCCAGAACCTATGTTGCATGACCTATTCGATAATTACTATCGATAATTATTTAGGTACTTAATGTATACAGGCATATACAGGACAAGTAAGAGATATACCTGAGACTAAGAAGTTAAATGATAATGTAAAAAGTGACATGTTCTCAAATCTGTTTGACTTGTGGATGCATTATGTAATTTCTTTAGTTTCTTAGTGAAGAATTATGATTACTCTGGTAACTCTTTATCCATGTAAATGGGAAATCTTCTATATAACCTTCCTAACCTTGTTTTTAAACCGTTTGTTTTACAAATCTATGCTGTACATAAATTATAGCAGCTCACATATGCACAACTTTATCATTATTGTATCCAGAATGTCTATGGAGCCTGTAATTTGAGTATTCTCCATACTCACAATGCCTGCACTATACTGTATCTCTATCCCCTATTTATAGCGGTGCAACCTAGGAAAGATATTATCTTATGTTTTCTTAAATTTGTATATGCCTGGGTGTGCACTTGATATTTAGTGGTTTTAAACCTGTATATAAAATACTTGTTTTTTCTCTTGCATCCTGCTAATTATTGTTAGATTCTATATGTTGCAGGATCCACCTCTTTCAGCTGATCTTAAGGGAGAACACTTCATTGCACTACTGGGAACACATAGCAGGTAGATATCTATTGCTAAATGTTTCATCCATGATCTCAATGAAACCAATTCCCTCATCAGAGTTAGGAACTGAACTCTTGTTTTCTGAGCTTGTTATCTTTTAATTTCATAAAACCTAAGCTCGAAATTCTAAATTAACTTGTATCAGTCCTTCCTTTCATTTTGGATGATATTAAGGGTTATTTTTGTGGCATACAATGGATTTAATTATAGCGAGCTTACTGGTTGCAGAGTCTTGCTATTAATCAATCAGGCAAGTGAACGTCAGCTGGTTATTTTTATAATAAGTTATTCTACTCTTTGAAACCAGAGCTTGAAACTTAATTTTTTGTAACAGTTATGAGTAAAAGGCGTCCTCTTGAAATGAAACTTTAACTTTTTGGAAGTCTTGTTAATCATATTCATCATTGGTGAAGAGTTTTGTGTTATTTGGATCCTCCATGCATGCATCTAACTGCCAATGATCTATCTTCAACTATACACGATTTGGACCACTTATCCATGGCTGAAAATTGTCTCTATGTATAGTTTGAGATCCTGTGGCTACGATAAAAATATATCTGACATACTGCATAGATTTAAATGTGACACTATGTAGGATAACAATCCAGAAAGAAAAAACCTGCTATGTAGGATAACAATCCAGAAAGAAAAAACCTTGTGGCCCGCAGTTTATGTAATTTAATAATAATGTTTGATGGACTTGTATAATTCCTTATGAAGTAGGGGTCAAGTTTTGATGCAATTTATATAAAGGCTTCTAAATTTCTTCATTGGCGAATCAGAGTCTTTGCTTATTTCCTAAAAAATGGTTCAGAAGAAAATTTATTGTTTTTACTAAATGGCTTGTGAAAAAGATTAAAATCACCGTGCTTTGCAGTGCTTTGGAGTTGTTTCTAGTTAAAAGGAAGATCAAGGGACCATCTTGGCTCTCAATATCAAGATTTGTCAGCTGTCCTGCTTCTCAACGGGTATGTTATCCAACTCATTCCGTAAACATTTGTATTTTATCTATTGGGTCTCTTGGTTTTTTGTTTGACACTGGATCTTATATCATGTGGGCAAGGTAGTTCTTTGATTTGAGATTTCGTACACCATCAGTTAAGGCTAACTATTATCGCTAGTGTTTTAACAGGTCAGCTGGTGCAAATTTGAGGTGGTTGTTGACTGTCCTAAAGATATATCAGTTTCTGCTGCAAATAATCAGCTAGAAATTCCTCAACTGATTGTTGCAGCAATAAATTTGAAAACAATCATTAGTATGAAGCATAATGCAAGTGAGATAGTTGCAGCTTCTGTTGTTTGTTGTCGCAAGGCAAAGGTAATTCGGTATTATATGTGTTTACTTTGTATCTTCATTTGGTACCTTTGCTACTAAATGTGCATCATTAAATGTCTGAGTCACCAAAGCCCAGATTGTATGCATCATTAAATGTCTGGGTCACCAAAACCCATACTTTTATATACTTTTTAAAAAATTCTTTAATGACAGCAGAGAAAGAGTAGTATTTTTACTATGCAGCTAGGAGCATAAACGCCTCCCACATGAACTGATACAGCAGGTATATGAGCTTTGCTCAGAGAGTCCTTTAGGGGGCTCACGTGGTGTCAGCCTCTGCGCAGGGATCTTGTGGGCTCCTGGACACAGCTTCCTGACTATGCAGCTGAAGAATTTTCCATGGAAAAGATTTCTCATCTCTCTCTGCCTCTATATATTTGTACACAGACATATATGTGTGTATACACACATATACATACATACATCCATACAAGGTCTTAAATATTAGATATCGGGGAAATGTTGAATGGTCAACTTACACATCAGATTGTGGATGTCGGGGAAATATCGGGGATGAGTAGTAAATATCATAGTGCCATATCGAATGATGTGCGTATATAATATAATGTCCTAAAATGTTATCTAAACATACTTAATAATCTAAACATACAAAAAATGTAAATAATATATGTTTAGAGACACTAACCGATTGTAGAAACTTACGTAGAGAAAAGAGCCTATTGGAATTTGTTAAAAAATTTCATGAGGGCTGGAATTTTTACTAAAAACATTAAAGAAATTTAGTAGAACTATATTGCTTAATGACAAGCCATATAGTAGGACATATCAGCCAATATATTGGCCATGTCAGGGGTATATTGCCTAAAACTGTCAAAAAGCGATGAAAGATATTGAGACCATATCGGTTTGCATCAAATCTTGTAAAAGTATATCGACTATATCAGGGATATATAAAACAATGCATCCATACAAACATACATATACTTACATACATGTTTGTATATTTCTTCCCCTCATTTTCTATTCACGGTACAAATCATACCACCCCTTACTTTGATGTGCATGAAGACTGATGACAACTCAAAACACCTATTCTCTATACATAAAATCTGGCCTCTTATTTAGGGTGAGATGCAACATATATCTGATTTTAATTTAACTATTCATGCCAGTTGTACTTATTACATACATTTCCAGATTGACGGGCCTATGGTGGCATCAGAATGGAAGAGAAGGGGAGCACTTAGCCATTTCACTGTTGTGCGCAAACTTGATGGAGGCATATTTCCTATGGGTCTTTCAAAAGTGGTTACTGAAAGAAACTTGAAAGCTGGCTCAAACATTTTGACGCTGGAAAGCAGGTAATTGTGATAGTTGTGTGCCTGCTATTTCATGTAATTTTCCACTGTATCATTCAAGTTTATCTTGCATATCCTGCAGTGAGAGAGCTTTGTTAAACCGTTTGATGATTGAACTGCATAAATTGGATTGTGATGTTATTGTCGGACATAATATCTCTGGGTTTGATCTTGATGTTCTTCTCCACCGTGCTCAGGTTTGGCTCTCAATCAAGATCGATAATTTGAGTATACAAACTGCATTTTGTCTAAGAAGGAATTGATTTTTCTTTTTGTTTTTTTTTTGTTTTTTTTTGCACCACAACCTACTGTAATATTTTTTTTCCAGAAAGATCTACCTGTGCTTTGTTTTAAAAAATTTGTCTAAGAATGGAGGATTTGGAAGTATGCATGGCACCTATTATGGTCTGGCCTTCAAACAGAATAGGCTGTAGTCTAATACAAGTAACAAACCAGTGGTTGCAACATGGAGATGAAGAAGTAATCTTGTAGTAAATATTATAAGCTCACAAAACATAGTTATCGTGAAGTTTGCTTATTGTTGGAGCTCAGCCTGCTTCGTAATTTTGTGTAATTAAAGGAGCAATCGGATAAAATAGGCAAATCCTGTAAACTCCTAGCATTTGCTATTTTCTTTGCCTAAATGATGAATGATGCTTACATAGATCAATTTATCGTGATCCTGCACCCTTGGTCAACTGACACCAGTTGGATCCCCATGTTCAAATAAAATCAAAGAAGATGTGAGTGCTTGTACTAACCAGACTCCATCAGGATCTTCGAGATATTATACCATCTCATCAAGATATCTTGTTGCCTTTAATCTCCAAGCGGACGTATCATTCTCTAGTTTGAATTCAATCCAAATTCTTCTGATATTTCAGTAGGCCATAACAAATCGAGCAATGCAACACACAATAAAGGTCATCATTGCTTCATTTGGATTAGTTCAAATTTTAAACAGCATCATGCCAGTTTCTTTTACATTCCTGTTACTGAAGTGTTAGCATGTTAGCTAGCTTGGTTAAGTTAATGGGCTTTATAACCTTGTGACTTCTCTATTATTTGACTGTAGGGATCCAAAATTTTAACAGTATCCTATGAATCTGTTTTTGCTAATGCAGGCTTGCAGAGTTCCAAGCAGCATGTGGTCCAAGATTGGTCGTCTCAAGCGCTCAATGATGCCTAAGCTCACCCGAGGAAGTTCCCTTTATGGATCTGGAGCTAGTCTAGGAATTATGTCTTGCATTGCAGGTCGACTTTTATGTGATACCTATTTGTGCTCTCGCGATCTTCTGAGGGAGGTAAATTGAATTTTGAAACTTATGTTATCTAATTTTCATGAAGGTTACTTATGATGTTAGCCTGTTATGTAACATATGCTGAACCATTTTAGGTTAGCTATTCTTTGACACAACTTGCAAAGTCACAGCTGGATAAGGACAGGAAGGAGATTGTGCCACATGATATCCCTGTCATGTTCCAAACGTCAGAAACACTTCTCCAATTGGTAGGTGCTTACAGTTAAGCTAGCTTGTTTATACTGACTGGAGTTGTTTCTCAAGTCAGCTTCCTTACTTTTATTAGACATGATAAAATAGAAGTTTTTGTCGTTTGATTAATAGCGGGCATATTAGGAACTTGAAAGACGTTTATTAATCTCAGAAGAATATTTCAACTTATGTTGCTTTCACATGCAGGCATGTAGAACTACTCGCGTTATATGTATGGGCAATGTGAATTTTGCTATATGCACACTCGATTTAATACAAATGTAAATTATAATACACACTCAAATGCATATAATGTAACCATGGAAACTCAAAAAAAAAAAGAAAAAAAAGAAAAGAAACTATATGTAACATCTACAGTTATAAACTATGCCAGAAATAAACATGACAAGGACACAATCACATAACCCCGAAAACCTTTGGAGCTTTGTATGTGAATCCTTTCACCATCCATCTTTAGCGAGAATCATCTTTTGTGTCACGTAGCAACTATGTTACCTTTTGTGCTTTAAATTTCATTCATGTTATTCCTAGTCTTTTTGGTTCTGAGAATCATATTGGTTCCATGACACATGCCTAAACCAACTTAATTGATCTGACTCATTCTATCTGGGTTGAGGCTACGTCAAAGTATTACAGTTTAGAACTTGTTTCCCTGTCTTTTAGCTTATTGCCACTCATGATTCTAATTACAGCTACACATTCTCTGGATATATTTCTTAATTTGTCCAACACTCTGACCCAAATAATGGCTAGTTATATAGTCGTCATGAGATTCTTCCTCAATTCCATGTATATTCTATATTCTATAATCACCTAATGCTAAGGATGCACTCCACCACTTTACCCATTCTTACTTGATTCCATGAATAACTTCTTTAATCTTACCATATAGGCAATGATAGATCCTAAGTAGCTGAGATGGTACCAGTGTGAGATATATCCTGATTTCATCTCACAGTTTTCTTCTACTCTTTCTCTTAGATTTTAATTTTTTCCGTCTCTCATCTTGAAAATTATCTTTCTCATAGTCTAGTCAACTTAAACAATATTGTTTAATGAGCAAAATGAACCACATAATATGAATAAGGAAAATATGTGGAATTGCTCCATGCATACTTACGTATATAAAATAACTGTATCAATGATAGTAGCACATATCAACAGCAAAGTGTCCGACTACCTATTGAAAAGTACCAACAATACATCGACTATGCAAGTAACATTTTATAATCAATGCAAATTTCTCATGAATAGTTGCCAAGCTTGTAATTGATAGCTTGTTGGTGAATTTTATGAAGGACAAACTCAAATTAGCATTTGATTTTAGTATTCTGGAGAATATTGTGGTGATGTTATAAATCATACTTGAGATTATTTCACCTGAATTTCCCTTCTATCAAGATTGTGACGTTGATATTTGATTTTGGACCTAGGTTGAGTATGGTGAGACTGATGCTTGGCTGTCTCTGGAGCTGATGTTTCATTTAAGTATTCTTCCACTCACCTGGCAGCTAACAAGAATATGCGGAAACCTTTGGGGGAAAACTCTTCAGGTATGCTGTCGCATTCATTTACTTGCAAGAACTGATTTTGAGGTTTCACTATATTCAAAGGCTATACTATATATGCAGGGTGCTAGAGCACAGAGGGTGGAGTACCTTTTGTTGCATTCATTTCACGAGAAGAAGTACATGGTCCCCGATAAGATCACTGCACAGAGGAAGGAGTCAAATACAACAAAGAGAAAACCCACTGCAACTGTTGAAGGTGAGGATGCTGAGGACATCAATGCCAATGATATCTCTCCTGAGAATGATGGGCAGCATGTCGATCGTGGAAAAGGAAGAAAAGGTCCTGCCTACTCTGGTGGCTTGGTGTTAGAACCTAAGAAGGGTCTATATGACAAATATATTTTACTTCTTGACTTCAATAGTCTTTACCCTTCAATTATTCAGGTAGTTCTTATTTCCTTTGGGGATTAACTTTTATTTCTCATTTGAATATCAATACTTTCTTCCAGGAGTAACCTCTTCTATCCAAACAACGCAACACTAACAACTACTACTATGTCTCTATATTTCTGTCAATCGAATTGTGAACTTCTTAACAGGAGTACAATATCTGCTTTACCACAGTAGATCGATCTATGGATGACCATACTCCTAGTTTACCATCATCTAAAGCTGTTGGAGTTTTACCTATGGTACTCCCTCTAATCACTAGTGTGTGTTAGCATTTTTTTAATAATTTTAATTAGCTTATTAATCTTTGTTCCCGTGTAATCATCTTATTTGCTTATTACCAATTTCTCAGCAACATTGGTACTTTTTGAAGTTATTCGCACGTCCTCGTTCCGTGGTTTTGTTTTGTGGTATATATATATATATATTATATATATATATTATATATATATAATATATTATAATATATATAATATATACATATATACATACACACACACACACATTACACACACACAACCACACACAATATTATATATATATATATATATATATATATATATATGTGTGTGTGTGTGTGTGTGTGTGTGTGTGTAATATATATATGTAATATATACATACATATGTGTGTGTGTGTATATATATATATATATATGAGAAAAATGGGTATGCTTGGTACCAAGCACAAATTTTATGCTTGGTAGTGAGGTGTCATATTTCCATCCACTCATTCCAATTCTCAACCACTCCCTAATCCATGTGAATATGGGTCCCGATTTTAATGAGTGGAGGAGAATATGTCACCTCACTACCAAGCACACAACTTGTGCTTGGTACTAAGCATACCCAATTTTCTCTATATATATAATGTGTGTGTATTTCTATCAACTCTGAATTTCTGTTAATTATTATTTAAATGCTATCTATTTTACCTAAAGCTCTATGAGGTGATAGCATCAATTTTTCTATCTAGCTTGATAGAGCGATAATATCATTTAAGTCAACCTTGCTAGTGGCCCTTCCTTTTAGCTATGATATGTACTCATGGTCGGAAATGTTGTACTTTGACGTGGACAATGGGCATCAAGCATAGAAATTGTTATGATATGAGAATGAGAGCACATGTGTACATTTTCCTTGAAGGTGTGCATTTAACCATAAAAATATTTGTAGTGGTTCTTATTAAATGCACCCACCAATGATTTCTCCCGACTTTTCTGGTTTTCCCCTTTGTCCTTGGGATCTTTTCTGGATATTTCTCTTTTTGCATTAGATATGGAGCAACTTACTAAGCACATTCATGATGAAATCCCATGGTGTATGTACTGTTATAAATAGCGGTAAATAGCCCCGTAATAGCGGCGCTAATAGTGTTAGAGGTCTCTTCTCGCTACGCTATCGCTCAATAACGGTGACATATTGAGGAATATGCGCTTTTCATTCGCAAAAGCAGCCAATAATGCGCCCTAATGGTAAATAACGGACGATTGCGTGAAAAATCCACTTTTTGACTGCTATTTAAAACTGGTTTGGGGTTTATTTTTTAAAATTAAATCTGATTTTTAACCACTACATTCCACCACCTCTCGTGATTTTCAGCATGCTTCCGCCGCCTCTCATAGTCTCTGACTCTCTGGTACCTAACTCAGCACTTCCTCTCACCTCCTTCACCGTGAGCTCCTCTTAGAGCAGTCCTCTCACTGCTCAACTCATTTTCTCGAAGACGACTCTTTTACTTCTCTTCCAGTCGTCTTTAGTATTATGTGACGGTTACATGTCTATTTCATGTTTAGGATCTCTTTAAATTATCAAATATGCACTTTTAGATTTTTTAGATTTCTCTTTAATCTTTTTTTAGCATTTACACATATCTAAATTATACTGCTATTTGATTTTACGCTTTTTGCCGCTATTTTGTTGCAATAGCCTCAAATTGCCTTAGTAATACTTCATCGCTATGCGACGTTATCTGCTATCGATAACCTTGGGTATATGTTATTTGCTGATGATATAGTATTAGTTGATGAAACTAGAAGTTGCATTATTTCTAAAGTAGAAAGATGGAGACAAGCTCTGGAGTCTAAAAGTTTTAGAATTAGTAGAACAAAAATAGAATATATGGAATGCATTTTTAGTAAAAGTAGGAAAGAAAGAGAGCCTATGGTACATATTGATGGCCAATGAATATCTAAAACTAATCATTTTCGCTACTTCATTAGGCATGATGGTGAGATAGAGGATGATGTTGTGCATCGAATCAAATCGGGATGGTTGAAATAGAGGAATGTTTTGGGAGTCTTATGTAATCGTAGAAAACCAATGAAACTAAATGAAAAATTCTATAGGACGGTTATAAAACCAACTATGCTTTAGTCAAAATGTTGGGCAATAAAAAAATAACATGTCAAAAAATGAGTGTAGCAGAAATAAGAATGTTGTGATTGTCTTGTGGGTATACATTAAAAGATAGGATAAGAAAATGAGTACATCCGTAGTAAATTAGTGATCGCACCTATTGAGGATAAAATGAGAGAATAGATTAAGATGGTTTGGTCATGCACAAAAGAGACCCCTTAGTGCATCGATTAGGAAAAGTGATAATATTAGAGTTAAGGGGGCTAGGGGATCTAGAGGTCGACCTAGAATGACTTGGTCAGAAGTAATTAAGAATGATATGATTAAGATTAACGTAACGGAGGAAATGACCCGTAACAGAATGAAATGAAAAAATAAGATTCATGTAGCCGACCTCAAACATTTGGGATAAATGTTTGGTGGTTGTATCTTTTCTAGATATTTTGATATTTAATCCCTCACACCTGTAAAGGAAAAAATGGTAAGGAATTGTATTGTAGCATAATAGTAAATAAACAAATAGATAAACTAATAAACACTGTATCATTATTTAATCCAACTCTGGAAATCACCATTGCCTCCGTGAAACTACCTAGATTCACTGCCTCATGTAAGATCAGGCATCTATGCTCTAACTTTTCGTTCAGTTATGGGTGTGCCTCTTACAATTACTGACAATCTTGTTTGTCACGCACATATTAGTTCTTGTATTCTACATCATTTTCAGTCATTTGTTTGTTCATTTCTTTTATCCTCATTTCCATATAGCCTGCTGACATTCGTAACCATGGACATATGTAACGCCCCGTCCCGGAATCCCGGACTCGGTACGCTACTAGATCTGATGGACTGGCCTCACAAACCACCACATGTCTTTTCAGCACGTTTTGTCCTCACTCACGCGCTCCCTAGAAAACTTTCCAGGGGGTCACCCATCTTAGAATTTTTCCAGGCCAAGCACGCTTAACTTTGGAATTTCTAAGAGTTGGGTTCCCGAAAAGAAGATGTATCTTGGTGGTATGAGTATTCCAATCAAATCTATCAATACTAATCACATCACCCTCTCAAGGGTTGGGGTATTACAAACTCCCCTACTTAAACTCGCAACGTCCTCGTTGCGTCAAATCATATCATCCAAGACCGTACCATCCGTGTGAGATTCTAGAGGTGGCTCCTACGGCCTCAAGAGATGGCTCCCGCCCTCTCGACGTAACACTTTGCGCCGCATAGCACTTAGCTCTTACCATTCCGGTTAGCTTTGCTCTGATATCATTTATAATGTCCCGCCCCGGAATCCCGGAGTCGGTACGCTACTAGATCTGATGGACTGGCCTCACAAACCACCACATGTCTTTTCAGCACGTTTTGTCCTCACTCACGCGCTCCCTAGAAAGCTTCCCAAGGGGTCACCCATCCTAGAATTTCTTCAGGCCAAGCACGCTTAACTTTGGAGTTTCTAAGAGTTGGGTTCCCGAAAAGAAGATGCATCTTGATGGTATGAGTATTCCAATCAAATCTATCAATACTAATCACATCACCCTCTTAAGGGTTGGGGTATTACAACATGGATGCAAGATATCGAATTCGAAAATTGTACACTCTGAACCGCAATTACAAGATGTATAGTGACTGATGTGTATGCAGATGTACCGTGACTGATGTGTATGCAATATGCAACTAATTGTTTTACGATAGAAGAATCTTTCCTTCATAGTTGCTATCTTTTTCATTAAGATTGACATACAGTACTGTACATAATGTATTTGAAAACTAGTTTGCTGCTTGTCTCTTAACGTGCATTACGAAAATGAGCTTATATGCGTTGACATACTATTTAATGGTCAAATTAACATGATATTTGATGTTTTGTTAAGTCTTTTATCATTTCTAGTATTCTAGATGATGTTTATTTTTTATTTTTTTTATTTCTTCAAATTTCACTGTTTCAGTTGTTGAAGCATCTGGTTGATAGAAGGAGAATGGTCAAGTCATGGATGAAGTCTGCTACTGGTCTCAAAGTCCAGCAGTTTGACATCCAACAGCAAGCATTGAAGCTAACTGCTAATAGGTTAGAAAATGTACTTATTTGTTTAATCTTCATTAGTTGGGCTTGAATGTATTTTTTTTAACAGATGATATTTCTTAATGAATTTGTTTCAGCATGTATGGTTGTTTGGGCTTTTCCAATTCCAGATTCTATGCTAAACCACTTGCGGAGCTCATAACACTGCAAGTAAGAGGTTTTACTATATATGTGTGTGTGTGTGTATATATATATATATATATATATAAAGCAATACTCATTAGCAGGAATTATCCTTGCATACGCATTTGATATTTTGGTAACCGCAATTTCACCTATTTGTTCATATGCATTGCAGGGACGGGAAATTCTGCAAAGTACTGTTGATCTTGTTCAAAACAACTTGAATTTAGAGGTAGACACTTCAAAACAATTTTTGATGATACTTTATCAAGTTATTTGCCTGACTCATTTTCCAGTTTCCTCTTGTCAAGTTGATAAAAATTTCTTGTTTAGAGTCAGAATATCGATAGAAAAAGCATGCCAGTGACGCTTGGAGCATTCTTCAAGTATCGAAAGATGATTCTTTTTGGTCAAATATCATAGATTCATAGGTTTTTTCTATCTCCTTTACACTCTATCATATGTTCTTTCTTGATCAACGTAAACCATAAGTACATCCTTTCCTTTTTCTGTGTCTCTTCCTCACTGCTGCGAAAAACACCATGAAATCTACGTGACAAGAATATTAGCATGAAATTTAGTCTTCATATCTTAATTGATTTCCCATGAAATGATTTTCAATTTGTTTTTATCTTTTTTTCTTGGAATGAAAAGCAATTTCCTGGAGCAAAATATATCTTCCACCTATATCTGGACTGTTTTCTTAATGTAGGGGAATTTTGGATATGTTGCATGAGCTTAGATGCACACCATCTATTAACTGAACCTCTATATTTATAATAACCCCTTCTTGTCAACAGTCGCCTTTTTGAAAGATTAAAAAGTTCTCCTATCTGTCAGTGGATCTTGTAGGATTTATTATAACCTCTTTCTTGTCATTATATCATTCACTAGGAATTGACACCAATTTGGGAACTCGTGAAAGCTATTGTGGTTCCTTGTGCTTTATAGGAGACCTTTTAGGGGACGGCTTAATGGGGATGGGACTATGATGGTGATGTGACTGATGGCTTCCCGTGAACTTGTGTTTATTGAGTTGTTTGATTGTTATTGGGATTACGTCATGCTTGAAGGCTCTTGATTCAACTGAAACTGGCCTTTTCCTGTGAAGCCAATGTTAATTTAAATTGAAGTCTGAAAAGATGCATGATTCCTGTGTTTCCATTCATGAGATAAAAGAGGCACATTTCTTTCTGAATGATTGTTGTAACCCTTTCTTAGAGGAGTCACACAAGCATGTGGAAAAGCCTTCCTCTATGAGTGATTGAAATATCCCATTCACTTGTTATAGAGGGAAGTTTGGACATGTCAAATCTTATAAGGCTTACTACTAAAATCTCTCATTTGATCTGTATTGTCCACTTCCTTACATTGGAAAACTGACTGTTTGCCAAGTGAATTTCATAACAGTGAAGTGATGTACAAAAACTTCTCTCCAGCTGTGTATCTGCCATGTACAGAACTTATTCCATCTTATGCACATAGTACTAATGAGAAACCGTATCTCACCAATGCCAATGATTAACACAATTCATCATTTATATCATTAAATTTCTTTCTTTTTTTTTATAAATATGATTTGATATTCCTTCTGATCCACCTTGGAGGTACACTGAGTGGGTATTTAACAGGTAATATACGGAGACACAGATTCTATTATGATCTACAGTGGACTGGATGACATCGCTAAAGCCAAAGCAATTGCTACTAAGGTGATTCAAGAGGTGAGGTGCTGGGGGTCCAAACCTGGCTGATTATCTTACATGGTTAATTAAAATTAATTTTGTCACATGAAGCTGTAAAAGAAGTTTCGCCTTGAGATATAGCCTCTGGACCTTCATATCTCACATTTGTTTTTCTTCCAGGTTAACAAGAAATATCATTGTCTTGAAATTGATCTTGATGGTGTGTACAAGAGAATGCTACTCCTCAAGAAAAAGAAATATGCTGCTGTTAAAGTGCAATTTAAAGATGGCACACCATATGAGGTTAAGATTTAATACATCACATGTTTTTAGTTCCATTTTTAGTATATCTCAACTACTATTTCACTGTATGGCTGTATGATGCACAAAGTAGGTAATTGAACGCAAGGGACTTGACATGGTTCGGCGGGACTGGAGTTTGCTATCAAAAGAAATAGGAGATTTCTGCCTTAGCCAGATATTATCAGGAGGGTATGCATTTATAATACATTTAGTTTTCGAACAACAGTGATAAAAGATCATAGATTTTTTATACTTCATTAGCCATTAGTTTAAGTGATATTTAATCCTATCATTTGTCATTTGGACAGGACATGTGAAGATGTAGTGGAGACTATTCATAGTGCTCTTATGAAGGTAAGCATAGATTTTTGTTAGAGAAAAATAATATGCAATGTTCTTTCTTGTGCTCTATCTTCTTTGTTTGAAAGTTTTCGTTGTTGCCTTACAACATGTCTGGTTGTATCACCTGTTCATTCAGGTGAAGGAGGAGATGACGAATGGTGAAGTAGCACTTGAAAAGTATGTGATAACAAAAAGCTTAACAAAGCCTCCTGAAGACTATCCAGATGCCAAAAATCAACCCCATGTTCAGGTCACTGATCTCTCTATTAGTCAAGACTTATTCACCAATTAGTCTTCATTAACATATTTTACCAATTTTCTAGGTGGCTTTAAGATTAAAGCAAAGTGGCCAGACAGGTTGTTCTGCTGGCGATACAGTTCCTTATGTCGTTTGCTGTCAGCAGGTATAGTGTCTCTTTATTTCTTGTTGCTGTGTCATTAATTAGATCCTCCTAAAAATAGGATGCAACATCTATTTAGCCATACTCCAGCTTTAACTTTTATTGTATACATGATCGGTGGTGGCTGCAAAAGTGGAAGAGAATGCTTGAAATTTTTATTGTGTGAAGTTTCACGAGTACTTTCCATGGACTGCAAAGTTCTTGATGAGACTGCTTTTCATTAGGTTTTCTATTGGGCAAAGCTCAATAAGCTCACTACCTATAGAACAGTGTTAGTGGCTGCTAAATTTGGTCCGAAGCTATTGTTGCTTATCTGATCACAGTTGTTTTTTTGTTATGACCTTACCAGGGGACTGGTTCTGGTTCTGTCGGGATAGCTCAAAGGGCGAGGCATCCTGATGAATTGAAGAGGGATAATGACAATTGGATGATCGATATTGACTATTACTTGTCCCAACAGGTTTTTCATTTCTTTATCGTTGCAGAGTGGTATTCGCTATGTAACTTGATTTTGCGGACTCTAAAGTTGATATATACACACACACACATTTTTTTTCAATGAACAGATTCACCCTGTGGTATCACGTCTTTGTGCTGCCATTCAAGGCACAAGCCCAGCTCGGTTGGCTCATTGTCTAGGTCTTGATTCATCCAAGGTGAGCATCTTCTCGTGTGCTTTAATTACATTACTACTTTGTTATTCTAATACACGTACTTTTTGGTTTCTGTTCTCAGTTCCAATCCAAAACATTTGATTCAGATCGCAAAGATTCAACAACTGTACTTTTATCGGTCATTGATGATAATGAAAGGTGAAAAACTCCCATGGAACAACCCTATAAAAGATTGGCATCAAATTTCTTCTTTTTGCTGGAAGCAATTGATTTATAATCTCATGAATAATGTGACTCAGGTATAATGGCTGTGAACCACTGTGGCTATCATGTCCTAGCTGCTCGTGTACTTTTGAGTGCCCACCTGTATCCAGTTTAGTTTCTACATTAATCAATGAAAACCCATCAGATTCTGGATCTGAAAAGAAATCAGACAGTAATTTTTGGCGAAGAATGCGATGCTTGAGATGCCCAGATGATGTTGAAGGATCTCAAATCTCAGCAGCCATGATTGCTAATCAGGTTACTTATATTCTCAAACGGTAACTAAATATTGATACAGAACAATATAAGATTTGTTAATCTAACCCAATTTCTTTTCAGGTGAAGAGACAAGCTGAGAATTTCATCTCCTTGTATTATAAAGGCATAATGACTGTAAGGACTGATCTAAACTCATGTGTTCTCATGTCTAGTGATAATGTTATTTAATTTAAGTCCATATTTGTGCATAGTGCGATGATGAGATGTGTGAGTACACTACTCGTGTTCCAAATCTTCGTGTTATTGGTGATTCTGAAAGAGGAACCGTATGTCCAAATTATCCACGGTGTAATGGCCACCTCATAAGACAGGTATATTTCCTGCAAGGTGCTCTTTTGGCAAATTTAACCATTCCCCAAATCGATGCTTCAACTTTTCGATAATGACCTAACCAAGAATATTATTCCATTGTTCTCTCTGGACAGTACACCGAAGCTGATTTATACAGACAACTTTCATATTTTTGCTTTGTAATGGACGTGGCGCGTTGCATCGAGAAGGTTAAATATCTTTACAATATGTGGTTAACTTTTACTTTATCATTCATTTTCAAAAGTAGGTGTATGTCACCGAGAGTGCGTCCTGGATTTTGACCCTTGTTCTCCCCAACTCTGACACCAGTGCACAGAACTTCTTTAGGTATCATGATATTAATGTCTCCTGACATGGAAATCTTATGAGTTCATGATGTAATCTTCACTCACGGCATCAATCAGACGCAATGATGAACAAGAAAAAACGATAAGGAACGATAAGAATCAGGAAAGGAAACATAAAGATCATCTAAATGTCGAAACGGCGCAGAGATACACGACGCCCCGCCCCACCCAACGCCCTCCCCCCCCCCCAAAAAAAAAAAAAAAAAAAAAAAGATAGAAAAAACCCAACACACGCACAAAAATAGACTATTTAAAAATAGGGTTTTTTGTTTTTAGGCCCATTTGTTTACTCTCATTTATTTTTAAACCCAACTACTATTACTTGTATCTTTAAACCCAATTCTCTTTTTTTGTTTATATTTAAACCCAACTACTATTAAGTTTGTTAAGTATTATATTTTAGAGATTGAGTTTAAAGATAAATATAAAAAGAAAGTTGGGTTTAAAGATACAAGTAATAGTAGTTGGGTTTAAAGATAAATGAGAGTAAACAAATGGGCCTAAAAATAAAAACCCCTTAAAAATATTGGGTTAAGGGCGTAATGTCCTTTTTAAGAACAAAATATTGGGTTAAGAACAAAATTTGCTTCATTATCCAACCATCATTCCTCAAGGGGGATATTGTTATTTGGTATTTTGATGGTTATTCTTCATGTTTGCAGGTAGACCAGAAATCTAAAATACTGATTGAAAGAGAGCTAGCAGCAATCCAATCAGCTGTTGAGTTAGCAGCTAGTGAGATACAAAAGATTCGAGGGCGGTGTGCCTATGGTTGGGTAAAGCTCAGTGACCTTGTGGTCTCAGTTTGAATTGATAATGCTGTCAAACAGTACCCCGGACTTCTCATTTCCTTAGGAACCCTTGACATCAAATGAAGCAACCGCGAATGAACTACCAGACTTCATACAACAAATGAAGCTAACTGACCCAGCCAAAGACTTAAACGATTCTTTTGATAGCGGGAGTAATTTAAACAGTTAGAAGTGAGGAAAAATGCCACTGCTTTTCCTCCCGATGCATATGTTTATATATCGTAGATCTACAGGAGTAGGGGACAGGGAACCGTTTTTTTACCATTGTTTTAAATAGCTTCGAGTATCAAGCTGTCCTCTATGGTCTCTTGTTGATGTTTCTGGTTCTGGAATGTGTATTCATACTTGATTAAATGAATGCATAATCCAAATCATTCTGGTCTTTGAAACAAATGCTGTTGCTTTCCAATATCTGTGCATGGAATCCTAACTTGTAATATACATGTTTTTTGCCGTTATATCAAATTGAAATTCTGCATGTAGAAAACTGCATGTGATGCGGATGAAGAATATATTTTGAACTTGGTAGTCAAGAGTACGCTACTGATATGATAAGCCAACTCAATCGATAATTTTTGTTTCTTGCTTTCCTGTTGAGAATGAAGAACAAGTGTGTTCTTCTAGCTGAAAATTTTAGCCTCGTCGATGTTCTAGTTTGCCGGAGAATTCGTTGATTGCATTTTACTTTGCAGGGCCTTTATAAGTGGCGCGGCAGTTGTGATAATGGAACTATCACTATGGTTCTCATAAGTCCATCTAACGTGCGCGGCTTAACTCGAACACTGATTTTAAGTTTTTTAGACGCTATGGCCACTGCTTATTTGCATCTCTGTGGCTGGCATTGCAGAAAGTCCTTAAGAGCTGAAAGCCTTGAAATGCTTTAGACGATACAGGAATAATTAGTCAAATGGACTATGGTTTTCTGGAACCAGTAATGAGTACCTTTTCCATGAGAGGGGAAAAAAAAAACGTTTTGGTTTGACCTTATATTGTCTGCAGTTAATGTTTATTTTTCAACTCATGGATGTATATCTAGCCTTAAATACATATTGACGTTATTTTTGCATGCTACATCTTCTGGCCGTGAATTTGAAGACTTGAAGATGAGGGAAAAGTATCTCAAGTCAATCTAGGTCCACGATATTAAACGTGCACAAGATGATTTTCAGTCGGTGGATCATTAGATTTTAGGTTTCGTTTACAGATCCAAAGATTGACATCATTTGGGCAGGCGCACATTTAATATCATGAACTGTTCCTACTAGATACATCCTATGTATTTCCTCTAGCCACACATCAGAAGAAATAAACATCCGAAACCGCAGCACACTGATAAACCTAGCTTAAACTAGCTCACCTAGTGTTGTTCAAGAAAACATAACAAGTAAACACGAGCAGTATTTTTGCGATATCAGTAACAGAGACCGGGTACTATCCCGGAAGGGGACAAAGGCATAAGAGATGAAAACATCAGTTAACCCGCGGTAAATAAAGGTTTATATAAACACCATTGTTGTATTATAACCAGTAATACAAGTTTTGGCTGATTACAAAGGTATCACTGTACCATTTCTCGGTTCGGCTTTCAAATGGTACACATTACAAATAAATGCTTTGCTAAGCCATAAATCCGCAGCTGTATTAGCTAAACCAAATACCTGCTGAATCAGCTGCACTCACGTCTTGAGGCAGCACTGAAAATTTTAGCGGAGAAGAACGGTAAGTAGATAATTCCTAAAATTGAAGTAGAACTCACCAAGCGGTTCGTATGATGGTAAGCTCACAGATCTGGGGCAAGAACTTCTTGAATTGGATGCATTATCTTCAGCGACAGAGTGAATGAGGCAATCTCGAGGCTGGACAATAAAAACAAACAGCAATTAAGTCTGAGTTTCTGTTTACCAAATCTCAACCGCATATTTATTACATAAAACATGTAAGTATATGGGTCCAGTTGAACTAAATTCCGTGAGCGAAGAACAACGCGGGGCTAAAAATACTATCCTCACATGTAAGTACATGGATATGAGAATAATTAATTACTTCTTATAACAACTTATATAAATACTATCCTCACAGAGCGAAACATAATTTTCTTCTTTTAGAGGATTAATGTGGTTAGGTCACACTCAACCACTATATGAGAATAACTCACTTCCCATATTTTTATTTATATTGTACTCTCACAAGCTAAAACAATAAAGCATCTTCTTGTTTTAGGAGATAAAAAATGATTCTCTCACAAACAAAGACGAAGTCGAGTAGAACATAAAGTGTGGTCTGACTTTCAATCATGCTTATCATCAAAAATCATGGCACGAAGATGTGTTCATTTAGGTATGGAACTGAGCCATTTTTCCAAGCCCAAAAAGGCCAGAAGCAGCACTTGCAGCTTCGGACAATCGCATGAGCCATTTATCAAGAAAATGATCCATCTATTCTAATAATAACAATAACAAGTTAAGCTTAATATGTACTTTCAATGGCCTATTAAACTGGAAAACAAGTGGAGGGTTTATGTATTAGTTCTGAAGGCCTTTAGTTAAATCACATGAAACCGGGACTCAGAACCGTTTTACGTCAGAGTAAAGAAGCTTCCCCTTTGCCGATATTAGAACAAATGTTAGGCGTAGATTAAAAGTTTTTTGTTGATCAGTAGCGTGAATGTAAGTAAGATTACAGGGGAAGATGAATTTCATTTATGACTACATGTAGAATGCTTGAGCGACAAATTTAACGAAGAGGAAGTGCCAGTTAATACCTTATAGAGCACATTCTCTCCCAAATAATAAACAATAATTGAAGGAAAAGATTACGGTGATTACTAAGCAACTGATATAAGATAGTAAACTCTGAGGAAGTTATGAACCTTGAAGTCTTTAGTTAAGCAGATTCGAAGTTCCTGCACAGAACCATGCTTGCAAACCAGCTCAGGTGTTGCTCCAACAGCATGCTTAACAGCGGCAACAATATCCCCCAGTCGGTACTTTTCAGCGTTTGAAGCAAAGAAACCTGCATCATTCAATATTTCCTGGAGACAAAACAGGGAGAAAAAGTGCAGCTTGAGCTTTAGATGTGCATCTGCAACAGTATACAGCTTGACTGACAACCCTTAACAATAGCTCATACTCATTTCATAATCTTTGTACATTCGCAAAATTTAGCATTCAACTGACTAACTACTTAGTTTAGTGATCAGTTGTTAATGTATGAAAGTTAAATAAAAGGATCAAAGCTGATGTAAACAAGGCATGACTGGAAATCAATAACAATAGAAGTTTCTGCGATTTCGTGCGTATCAACAGTAACAGAAGTCTTTTCTTAAATTTGACATGATTTCAACATTCAATGACTTATTTTCCCAGGGAATATATAAAATGGAAACTTAACCTCAAGTTTCAGAAACTTCCCATGCAGCTACTTCTGTAGTTAAGACTCGTCAGGCATGATGGCCGACGAAGCAAAGGTTTTGGATTTCAGAAAGAGAATTAAAAGAGAAGTGAAACAAAATTATTTATTATATTCGGTGGATCGTGCTTTAAATGGTTCTATACCAAAAAAATTGGATCCATATCTCCGGACACAATTTAGCAAATAAAACTTGAATTCATAGATACCTCCAAAACATTACTAATATATGCTACTATGAGCTAATGTACACTTTATTCCATGGAATTATCCAAAATCTTACCGTAACATTATATTTGAAGTACAACTCAAGAGCCTTGGAAAAGTAGCTGTACTCATCTTGAATTACAGCGTAGGAACATGTCCCATGCTTTCCTGCAGGACGCAGACAGCATAAAAACGAACGAATTAACTCGGTAAGAGAAAGAACCTGTGGGCTAATCTTAATACATGATTATTGTGATAATGAACAGCAAAAGCAGTTGACTTGTTATTTACACGAATCCTTAACAGTTCCGAGTGTTGTCGGTATTAATTAGTTAGGGTCATAAATAGCGAAATCATATACCAATGTAGCTTTATTCTTACAAGTATTCTTGGTTGTTCACTATGCATATGTTTTCAGTTGGCATTCTCACCGCAAGTAATAAAAACTGAAAAGAACTCTTTTTTGTAGCTTAAACTTCATCAAAGAAGTATTAACACAATATTTCTATTACACTGAGCAGGGAGCTTCACTTCTATCTATGTTTTACATTTAACTGTATTTGGAACCAAATGTTAAACAGGTAAAACTGTAAAAGAAACCACGGTTTTCATATCCGGCAAATTATAATGTTTGTCTTTCACCGATTCAGAAGCATCAAACACTAAGTTTAAGGCATCAATTTTTTTTATGGAAAGCAACTCTAAAACCACTCATTAATGAGCCTACATCACTGGTAACATGGAGATTATGTGAAGTCCCAGATCAAAGTTTGTCTACAAATTTTGACATATAAAATAAAAAAACTGTAGAAGGACACAATAATCTGGTTTCAACTTATTTGAGCTGAATAGGGTACTTGATCCATTAATTACACTACACAGAAACTCGGTCAGAGTTTGAAGACAAAAATAGTTCATAGTTGATGATTCCAGAGTGTTCCTTACCCCACTGCTCAGATCCAGTACCAAGCAAAGAGATGCACAACAACAACAACAAAAAACTTGTCAGTATTCACGGAAAGAATTTCACGAAATGAGATAGCAAGGAATAGAATTTGTGCTACCTCATGTGCCCAAAATGACCCTCTGCTACCATCACATTGAGACGTAGAGCCGCAGCTCAAGGTTGGCCAATACTTCTCAAGTGTTGGTAGCAAAGATGAAACCTGCGAAATAACAGAATCAAACAAATGAATACCCTATACAAAGTTTATTATACCACTAGCCTTAGATGAAAGGACACAGTTTAATGTATAAATGTAATACAAAGTTGACAAATCAAACACCTTCTTTATATCAAACTCTGTATGACTGCAACATGCTGGCCAGGTTCCATCATCATAATCTGGCCAGAGACCATCTGTTTAAAAGGATTAGAATGACAAATTAGTCTGCAGCACGAAACCATTTCAGTTTTTATAACATGCCAAAGAATAGAAAGTTATTATGCACCACACATTCAATTAAACATCTATCAGAAAAAATGGAGTATATTTTCAATTTTAGAATTTGTAATCACTTATGTTAGTGAATCAGTTTCCATGGATTCGAGAAGTGCTTATCTTAATATAGTGCACCAAGGTAACTTTAGATATCTTCACATCGTGATTATTATGTCGATGTAAGAGACGTACGTCAAGGAATTCTATTGGTTATTGTACATGTCTATCAGCCAAGACAAGCATCCTATCTGCCTCAAGTCTACGTACGTGGAATATCTAAATGCTATGTGTGTGTCGGGGATTCTGGATATGAGTTGCCACCTCATTTAGCAAAATGAGCTACGAAGAGATAAAGTTGTGAGGTCCACATTTTTCGATGTGACCAGTAGGGTGGGCCTCAAAGCTCCTCTATGTCTTTGTAGCTCCTTTGTTAAATCAGTTGCTGCCTCGTTCCCATTTTCCCATATATATGTGGGGTTAGAAAGAACTCAGACATTTGGTAGCAAAATCTTCTCGGTTGGTTCATGGGTGAGAAAATGACAAACAACAGGTCATGACTTATCCGCTGGTATAGTAAGGTTGTTCTACAGTACTATGCTTCATAATCTAAATGACGACTAAGGCACCACATTAATAAGATGTTATAAGTCCATTAATCATAGTAAATACCATGAGAAAAATGCACTAGTAGCCCCCTCATATTCAGTATCCATAAATAATATAGGGAATCTATCATTATGCAGAAGGCTCTAATATAAAGGTCCAAAGGTATCAAAAAGTAAGAATTTTAGTAAAAGATAGAAACTCACGGATTGTAAACCAAGTCAGTGGTTCTGGGCTGAAAAATATAAAGAAGAAAGAGTCAGCAAGGAAGTAAGAAAAACAACATGTTTTAAAAAGGAAAGCATCCCAAATTAATCATGTAGATAAACCCACAACATCAGTTTATTGTGAGCAAGTCACTGCTGACTTTAACATCTATACACTTAGTTATATAAATCAAGATAGCAGTGACATAGGTGCTCAAGCATAGAGAAATGTTAAGTGATGACATGAAAAACAACATGGATGGCCATCAAATTAAAGTTTCATAGATAGACGGCAAGATGTTCTAACACCATAACGCCCAGATTACGCGGAAGTAAATGACCCATCCTAAGAAAGCCAAGCAAATTGTTGGGTGACAGCCGCTTTTGTTGAAAATAAAGGCTGAAGAGCTTTCGGTGGGAGGTCAAAAATGGGCAGAGCCGCAGTTGTTGACATGGGGAGCCGCTGCAGCCACATTTGTGGACGAAGAGAGAAAGGGGAGCCGAATGATTTGACCAAAGGGGGGGGGGGATTGAAGCCTATAAAGCCCCCTCCCCTCTCTTCCTCTGATGATCCTAATCAGATCCATCAGAAGCTTGAGAAATAATTAGTCTTAAGCAGAGTTTAGAGAGTTATTAGGATTTGGTATTTGGGCAATTTTGTGTGAGAGATTGAAAGTAGAGGAAAAATCAAGAGTGATTTGTTTGTGAGATTATTGAGTGATTGTGATCTCTATTTGTACTCTCCCTCTCTATTAATGAGATCTATCCACTCCTTGCCCCGTGGACGTAGGCATATTGCCGAACCACATAAATTTAGTGTCTTGCCTGCTGTGGTACTTGTCTTTTATCTCGTTTGTGATTTTTCCGTTCTGCTACGCACAACAAGTGGTATCAGAGCTCCGAGTTGGCTTGGGGTTCGATTTGGAGGATTGAAGGAAAAAGCTAGGGTTTTTACAAGGGATTTCTTCTTCCAAGGAGTGGTGGAGAATTCAATTGGAGGATTCGGTGTGGATTCTCGTTTGGAGGTACAAACCCTAATTTTGCTCCTTTTCAATTCAAGTTGTAGTTGTGTAATTTGGAGATTAGATTGAAAATGACCGAAGCAAGTATATCGAGATCGTCCTTGACTAAGGCGATACAATGGTTGAGCATTAATAATACAAAAATTAATGTTCAAAAATTTGATGACAAGATAAATTTTGGATTGTGAAGGTGTCAAGTGATGGATGCATTATATGCCCAAAATTTAGAGGAGACTCTTGAATTTCAAGAGAAACCCGCTAATATGGAGGAAAAGGTTTGGAAGAAAATAAATAGTAGAGTATGTGGGGTTATTAGATCATGTTTGACGTCGGATTTGGTTTATGATGTAATGAATGAAACATCGGTGAAACGGTTGTGGGAAACACTCAATGAGAAGTATTTGACGAAGAGCATTGAGAATAGACTTCATTTAAAGAAGAGGTTTTACCAATTCAAAATGAAGAAAGGAGTTTTTATTAGAGAACATGTTAATAATTTCACAAAATTATTATCGGATATGACCAATGTGGATATCATGGTAGATGATGAAGACAATGCGATGTTGTTATTATGTTCATTGCCAGAGGATGATTATGGTACCTTTGTCCTTACAATGATTAATGGTAGAACCACTGTCAATTATAAGGAGGTGACCTCAGCATTGATTAATTATAAGTTGAGTAAGAGTGATAGTGAATCCTCCGAGAAGGCATCGAGAGATGCATTGACAGTGAGAGGTCGTAGTCCAAACCACCGTCCATTTAATCACTCAAAATCGAAGCCAAGAGGGGCACATCCTGCAGTTGGTAGAAATCAGTGTGCTTTTTGTAAAGAGAATGGATATTAGAAAGCCGAATACCCAAAGTTGATAGAACGAACCGGGAAGAATAAGGAAAAAGTTATACAAGCTTCAGAGGTGAATGTTGTCAATGCTAGTGACAATAATTCAGATTCGGATTCTTCGGACTACTCGTTATCTGCACTACCGTCAGTTTGTGTTGCCGACTCTACAGAGTGGATATTAGATTTAGGTGCTTCTTACCATATTTGTCCTAGGAGGGATTGGTTCTCCAGTTTTCAGGAGTTGGAAAGAGGAGAGATCGTGCTCATGGGTAATGATCATGAATGTCCTATTGGTGATATCGGTACCGTTCGGATTAGGATGAGTGACAGAGTGATTCGGGAGTTGGTTAGAGTGAAGTTCATTCCTCAGTTGAAGAAGAACATCATTTTACTTAGAGTTTTGGAGGTAGCAGGTTATAGGATGACCTTGATCGATTCACGTTTGAAGGTCACATTGGGGTCCATGATTGTGATGAAGGACGTCAGGAGAAATAATTTGTATTATTTGATTAGGAGCACGGTGTTTGATAGAGAGCTGGCGACTTCTTTGGATTTGGTTAGACTGTGTCATTTGTTGAGGCTGAGTTATTTGATTGGTTATGTCATGCATGATTTTTGAGGAGTGCTTTGACCTGCAGATTGAAGTCCTTTGAGCACATTGGTATGAGCAAGAAGACCGAGGTGGAGTTTGATACTTCTATCCATCGATCGAGGGGTCTTTTAGGTGGTGTTCAGTCAGGTATTTGGGGGTCTTCCAAGGAGGCATCATTGGGAGGTAATCAGTATTTGGTTTTCGTAGTTGGGGATTGTTCTAGGCATTGGTGGGTTGCAACCATGTCCCGTTGGTATGAAGTCTAGAAGTCAACAATTGGAAGAAGTGTATTGACAGAAAGATAACTCATCGTTCTAGCTCTGGTAGGGGTTCTTTCTTGTATTTGTGCCAAGCTTATGACAGTTTGAGACACTTCATTGATGTGGAGACATTAGGGCGACGAGATGAGATGATAGTTTTGATGGATCGTTCCTTACTGGAGGGGGATCGGCGTTGGTTGTTGAGCATTGGTTCTGATTTTGGAGCTTTGACATATTTGGGTCATCTTGGTCATAGGTTATCGACTGCTGTGTGTGGAGATTTTGAATCTGGTGGAGCTGCTTCAGATTTTGGGTTGCGTCGGATATTTGGTTGCCCAATATTTGGTCACATCGATGATGTGTGAGATTTGATCCGATTGCACGTTTGTGATTCAGAGGTTCGTTTGATTATCAGTTAGGAGCTTCTGATTTTATTCTGAGCAGGTATGTCACATTTGACTCTCGACAGGTGGAGTGTTGATCAGATCATTGGGATTTCGTAACGGGTGGAGGGTGATGCTACTTCTCATTGGGTGGAGATTACTTCACATACTCCAGATCATACTGCATCGTTTGGGATTCTAGCTGAGGTGACACGGTTTGAAGATCATTGGGATTTGGATGCAGATGATAAGTTGGTTTTAGATTCGAGTGCAGCTGGTGAACATGTTTTGGATACGACCATTGGTTCACCTCAGGTGGAGGTGTTTGATTTGTTTCAGTTTGGGGCCATTGGGAGCGCTATCAGTTACAGATCCATTGGTGATATTGGTGAAGAGTTGCAAACTTTTCTATTTGATTGAGGGCATTTGGAGGTCGCTTGGGTGAACTACGTGAATGTTTAATTTCTAAGACTAGAGGATACGTAGGCAGTCATTTTTTATGCAGCCGGTTTGGTGAGTTGATATCGATGTTTGGAGAGTGCTCACATTCTCGTTTGGGTTCTCGACTTGTTGTGGATTGAGTCCGTTATCGTGGTTTTGTTCCACTTCGTACTGGACACAACAAGTGAGACGTTTTGGTTGGTATTGGTGTCGGCTCAGTTTTAGGAAAACTTCGCCGAGGTGGAGATTGTTGGGTGACAGCCGCTTTTGTTGAAAATGAAGGCTGAAGAGCTTTCGGTGGGAGGTCAAAAATGGGCAGAGCCGCAGTTGTTGACATGGGGAGCCGCTGCAGCCACATTTGTGGACGAAGAGAGAAAGGGAAGCCGAATGATTTGACCAAAGGGGGGATTGAATAAAGCCCCCTCCCCTCTCTTCCTCTGATGATCCCAATCAGATCCATCAGAAGCTTGAGAAATAATTAGTCTTAAGCAGAGTTTAGAGAGTGATTAGGATTTGGTATTTGGGCAATTTTGTGTGAGAGATTGAGAGTAGAGATTGAGTGATTGTAATCTCTATTTGTACTCTCCCTCTCTATTAGTGAGATCTATCCCCTCCTTGCCCCGTGGACGTAGGAATATTGCCGAACCACGTATATTTGGTGTCTTGCCTGCTGTGGTACTTGTTTTTTTTTATCTCGTTTGTGATTTTTCCGTTCCGCTGAGCACAACACAAATCACATAGCAATGCAGACTAGAAGCAATACGACTCTAAACCGATCATGGCTAAGTCGAAAAAACTCTATACATTCTCCCATAAGACATTTCAATGGAAAACCAATCTGATTTTTTTTAATAACACTAATTGTAGATTATGCAGGATGAACTAAATTGAGCGCAGGATTAAGCAAACCGAGAAAGAAATACAATACACCACAAAAGACGCAATTTTGACCAGAAAGAAACCCAAAAGAAGTCATCTTCTGTGGCAACCACATACAAAAAAAAGGCATGTTCGATTGGATACTTCGAGGAAACAAAAATCCATCAGCTCCTCAGATGATATCAAATCACCCAAGCAAATATAAACTTACGCAAATTTACCCAACCGATGCAATTACTTCGAATCACAAGGAATTATCCGCGTCTGATCATCAAGCAAGCAATCAATTAGATGAACAGCAAAGACCCACTTCACAGAATCTAAAGAATCGCAAACCATCTCCAGATCTCACCCCCCATTGATATCTCATCAACGGGTGAGCTTTTAGGCAAAACAAAAACCGACCCAGATCACGAAATCAAAAGAAATTGATGATAAAACTATTACCGGCAGCATCCGTTCTGAGAGCAGCAATGATGGGTCTTTCTGCAAAAAGTGCCCGGCCATTGGAGAGCAAAAGCGAAGTAATCGAACTCTCTCTGCTTCTGGGCTTCTAATGAGTTAGCAGCAGCCTCCTTTGAGAAGAGGAAAGAGAGGGAGAGGAGGAGGAGGAGGGAGAGAGACGAAGTGAAGATGCTCAGGCTCGCCATTGTGTTTTTTGTTGTTTCTTACCGGTTCTGGTAATTTAATTTATTTATCGAAGATTGAAGCAGGTTAGGCTCTTCAGTCTTCTAGTTGCGTGTTTAAAATACGTAAAAGGATTGAAGGGAGAGATGATAGCTGTGGTCCTAGCGGAATTCTTTTCAAGTTCAAAAGTATATTCTGCAACTATGTGATTTTTTTTTTGTTTATTTATTTATTTCAGGTAAATAACATAAAACCTCCATATAGTCTGTAGATATAATTGAGGCGTGTAGCATGAGGAAAGGAGATTACGTGAAATCTGTTCTTTCATTTTTATATTCTTTTCTTATATCCACTTTTATAGATAAATAATTAAATAAAATAGATAATTAAGAATATAGATAACGTGAACAAATTAAAACAAGGAGTATCTAAATTTAAAAAAAAAAGATTGACACGTGAAAGTAATAGGTAGTTAAATTAAACAAAAAAGATTAGTATATTAGAATAGTAACTCACAGAAAGATGGAGATATTGAAATAAATATTATAAAAAAGTTGAGCCTTTGTTTGCTTTGTTACGAAACATCTTTCTTCAATACAAATCAATTCAACTCTACTCTTTATTAAAATTTTGTTTATAACTCTGATATGATCACAGTTTCCTTGGCTGCACGCCAACCTAATTTTGTTGCAAGAGCATCTATCTTTTTTATAGATATGTCAACCTTAATATGAACCATATATCTTCCTTTCATCCAAGTCTAACTTTATAGTAATTGAAATTGCCTACTCTTGTTAAGAAATTTATCTATCTCTGTATCAAACTAAATTCCTTTGATGTAAATTTAGTTATATCTTTTTCATTATAAAACAAAGCATCTTTGTTACAAATCTAGACGTGTTTGTTAGTCTAAGGTGTAGACCCAAAGTCGAGATGAGAGCTGGAATCAAAACGACGAAGAAAACGACCTGACAGATCCACGGTCGACCGCGACGGTCGACCGCGGTTTTGATCACGGTCGACCGTCGCGGTCGACCGCTCAACTCTCTGGAATCTGAGGAGCTTATGTCGTCTGATCGCGGTCGACCGCCGCGGTCGACCGCTCAACTCTCTGGAATTTGCGCGGTCGACCACCACGGTCGACTACGACGCAGTCAAACAGTTTCCTAAACTGTTTTGGATTTTGTTTCTACAAGAACTCTATATATACCCCCAAACGTTTTTAGGGTTTAAAAGACACGAAAAAGAGAGCTTTTTGACTGAAAAGAGAGAGAGAATCTCAGAGAGATTAAACCCTAGTTTGAGAGCTTGTATTTCTTCTTCAATTAATAAAAGAATTGTGTGGTGTGGCTCCCGAGGACGTATGCACATTGCCGAACCTTGTTAAATCTGTGTGTTCGTCTTCTTTACTAATTTTGCAAGATTATATCTTTATTTGTGGTATTTTCCTACTTTCCTACTTTCAACACAAGGTCCGGAAGGGCAAGGATCCGATTGATTGCTTCGGATTCCCCAACAACTGGTATCAGAGCTTCGTCCAGTAATTTGTGTGAAAGCCATGGCAGAGGAAAACAAATCAAAGATCGAGAAGTTCGACGGATCGGATTTCGCCTACTGGAAGTCACAGATGGAGGACTATCTGTACCAGAAGGACTTGTATCGCCCGTTGATGGGCAAGAAAAATGGACAGAAGAAGGAGGAGTTAGATGGTGATTGGGAGATACTGGATAGGAAGGCTCTAGGGTAAATTCGGTTATCGCTCGCCAAATCAGTAGCCCACAATATCTTGAAGGAGAAGACGATGGTGGGACTTATGGAAGCGCTCGCGAAGATGTACGAGCAACCGTCGGCAGCAAATAAGGTGCATCTCGTCAAGTCTCTTTTCAACCTAAGGATAGCAGAAGGACGATCCTTCACGATACATCTCAGCGAGTTCAACATGATTGTTGATCAGCTTATCTCAGTAGACATCACGTTTGATGACGAAGTGCAGGCCCTATTGTTACTATCGCAGTTACCGGATAGTTGGACAGGTTGTGTGACAGCAATCAGCAATTCGGTGGGGAAGGAGAAGTTGAAGTTGAGTGAGGTGGTTAGCATGATTCTATCCGAGGAGGTTAGAAGAAAATCATCTGAATCAGAAGGTTCAGGTTCAGCTCTAAGTTTTGAGCAGAGAGACAGAAGCCAGAAGAAAGAAAACCAGAACAGGAATCGGTCGAAATCAGTAAAGAAGAGGTCGAACTCGAAGGTTAGACCTGAAGAAAGAAAACCAGAACAGGAATCGGTCGAAATCAGTAAAGAAGAGGTCGAACTCGAAGGTTAGACCTATCAAAGGAAAGTGTTAACAGGAATCGGTCGAAATCAGTAAAGAAGAGGTCGAACTCGAAGGTTAGACCTATCAAAGGAAAGTGTTAGAACTACGGCCAGGAGGGCCATATGTCTTCAGTCTGTAAAAGTCCAAAGAAGAATACGGGTGAGCAGGAGGCTCATATCGTGTAGGATGCATTAATTCTTGCAATGGACAACGATTCGGATTCTTGGGTCATCGATTCAGGAGCCTCTTTTCACGCCACTGCTAACAGGAAGCTATTTCAGAATTATGTAGCAGGGGACTTTGGAAAAGTATATCTAGGGAATAATGAGCCATGTAATATTGTTAGAAAGGATGAAGTACAGATTCAGATGAAGGGCTCTAAGTGGACTTTAAAGAACGTGAGACATGTGTCGAAGCTGAAGAGGAATCTTATTTCGGTGGGACAGCTTGGAGCAGAAGGTTATGTTTCAACATTCACTGGGGATTCGTGAAGGATCTCTAACGGTACGATGATAGTTGCTCGAGGTAACAAACTAGGAGCTCTCTACCTTACCTTACATGCAAGTGACACCCTCGCAATTACAGCTGGCAAAGAGAGTACAGATCTATGGCACAATAGGTTAGGGCACATGAGCGAAAAGGGGATGAAGATTTTTTATTCACAAGGAAAGCTAACCGGGATCGACGCCGTGGAAGTCGGGGTTTGTGAAGACTGTATCTTTGGGAAGCAGAAGAGGATTAATTTCCAGAAGGGTGGAAGGCCACCTAAGGCTCAAAAGCTAGAGTTGATTTATACAAATGTATAGGGCCCAGCCAGTGTATCATCTTTTGGCGGTTCAAGATATTATGTCACCTTTATCGACGATCACTCGAGGAAGGTGTGGATCTACTTCATGAAGCACAAGTCAGAGGTGTTTGGAATCTTCAAGAAGTGGAAGGCCATGGTAGAGAATGAGATAGATCTGAAGGTTAAGTGTCTGAGATCAGACAATGGTGGGGAATACGAGCTGGAGGAGTTCAAGAGGTTCTGTGCTACGAATGATATTCGCTTAGAGAGAACTACTCCAGGGATGCCGCAGCAAAACGACATTGCAGAGAGGATGAACATAACTTTGACAGAACGTGCCAGAAGCATGTGGTTACATGCAGGTCTGCCTAAGATATTTTGGACGGATGCAGTGCATACAGCAGCCTACCTTATTAATCACGGGCCATCAGTTCTATTAGATTTTGGGATTCCAGAGGAGGCTTGGAGTGGTAAGAAGATAAATCTCTCACACTTACGGGTATTTGGTTGCGTGGCTTATGTTCATATCAGTGACCATGTTAGGGACAAGCTAGAAGCTAAGTCACAGAAGTGCACATTCATTGGATACGGCATTGATGAGTTCGGGTATCGCCTTTGGGATGAGAAGAACAGGAAGATCATCAGAAGCAGGGATGTGATATTCAATGAGGATGTGATGTACAAGAACAAGGAAGATGCTAAGGATAGCCAAAGCAGTGGGAGCAGCATTTCAGATACAGATGGATCTAAGTACATGTATATAGAGGAACTTCCAGACAGGGGAGATGATATTTGTTCTGACCACAGAACGGAGGAGGTTCCAGGCGCAGAAGAAACTACCCAGGGCGTGGAGCTTAGGAGGTCATCTAGGGTACCCAAACTAAATCCCAAATATATTTCATCTCTTGACTACTTATTATTGACAGATAGCGGTGAGACGGAAAGCTATGAAGAGGCAATGCAAGTGAGTGAATCTCAGCAGTGGGAGCATGCGATGCAGGAGAAGATGGATTCTCTACTCACTAATGAGACATGGGAGTTAGCCCAGCTACCTGCACAGAAGAAGGCCTTACATAACAAATGGGTCTATCGGGTTAAACAAGAGAGTGATGGAAGCAAGAGATTCAAGGCCAGATTAGTAGTAAAGGGATTTCAACAGCGGGAAGGAGTAGACTACATGGAGATATTTTCCCTTATTGTGAAACTTACAACCATCAGAGTGGTGTTGAGTTTGGTGGCTATAGAAGACCTATTTCTTGAGCAGTTGGATGTGAAGACTGTCTTTCTTCATGATGACCTGGATAAAGAAATCTACATGAAGCAACCTGTTGGCTTCATTGAAGAAGGAAAGGAAGAGATGATGTGCAAGCTTAAGAAGAGCTTATATGGTTTGAAACAGGCTCCGAGACAGTGGTATAAAAAGTTTGATAACTTTATGCAGAACAATGGCTACAGAAGATACAATTCGGATCATTGCTGCTATTTCAAAAGGTTTGAGTCCAGCTTCATTATCTTGTTATTATATGTTGATGACATGTTGATAGTAGGACCGTGTTTAGAGGAGATAAACAGCTTGAAGAAGCAGCTAGCAAAAGAGTTTGCAATGAAGGATCTGGGTGCAACGAAGCAGATTTTAGGGATGCGAATCAGTAGGGATAAACCTGAAGGAACATTGAGATTGAGCCAAGCTGAATATATCGAGAAGGTACTTCAGAGGTTCAATATGCAAAATGCTAAGGTTGTTAGCACACCCCTTGGAAGCCAGTTCAAATTATCTGAGGAGCAATCGCCGAAGACAGATGCAAATAGAAAGCATATGAGCAGGGTACCATATTCTTCAGCCATTAGGAGCCTTATGTACGCGATGGTTTGTATGAGGCCGGACATCGCCCATGCAGTGGGAATTGTGAGCAGATTTGTAAGCAATCCAGGGAAGCAGCATTGGGAGGCCGTGAAATGAATAATGCAATACTTGAGGGGGACAGCGAACAAGCCACTATATTTTAGGAGGAAGGAGTTAGTGCTGCAG